GCCAGGATTGTAGAGAATTCAAAGAATTAAACTGAATTATGATCATGGCTTCTGAGCATGTTAGAGTTTTGAAATTTTTGAGTTTTGCTATACTTGAAACTAGGAAGAGAATCATTCAGGCAAGGTTCCTTGAAAATTTGCTTCTAAAAATTCATAGCAGCATATTACTAACTAACTAGAAAAAAAAGTTTCATGGTCAACAGACAGAGCATTCCATCCCAATTTTGGGCAGTTCCTCACATGAGTAAAAATCAGACTAGTAAAATATTTTGTAGGCTAGAAAGGCAGCAGCTGTCAAGAGGTTAGAACAACCCCTTCCTGTTTAATTTCTCTGTTGAATATGCAGAACATGCAGCATACATATAAGGGATATAGAATGACCTGTGGTTTAACCAACAATGTGGAATCTACCCATCTGTGATGCTGTAGCCTCATTTCTGGAAAACCAAATGCTACCAACTCTGGTCAAAATAGTGCTATGGCAAAGACTCTACAGTCAAGGAGTGGCTGTTCACATTCATGCAATGGGACATGATAAAGAGAAAACATGCATTGGATTCTGCAACAAAGATTTCCACTCTTATAAACACAGCTTTTAATTATTTTTCTCATGCCATTTTTAATATTCTCCTTCATTGTGAACAGATGTTTGAAGCTTTTGAACAAAGCTAATTGAAAGAGAACCATATTCTGTTTGTTTGTTTCTTTTTTTAAAAAAAACCTCGTTTTGCTTTATGTTACATTTATGCATGTGAATGCAAAAATAATAATTTATGTATAGAAAAATCCTAATTTATTTCAATTTATTTGTACTGTTTAATTTTTGTCTTTTTGCCCAAATGGCATTCAAGAAAGCATCTCAATACTCAGCAAATTGCTTTGGACTCTATGGACTATAACTAGGCATGACAATAGTGAAAATTTTAACATCCTAGTTCTGATTCCACATTCATGTCCCCCCCAAATTGTGCTTCAAATTTATAATGAAATCTGTGGATGATCTTGGGTGGTTAGGGGAAGAGATGCTGCCTAGGAAATGATCAGACTAGAGTGGCAAGAGTACCTAATGATTTAATGGTCCAAGGAAGACATTTAGGAAGGACCCACCCTAATTATTCAGGTGGTTAAAAGTGGCAATAGGAAATTTGTGCCTTCAGACTTGCAAGATTAATGTCAATGTAGTCTTTCAATAAAATAGAATTAGCTCATCTAGTCATGTTTCCTGTCTGGCTTACCCAGAAAGACTGAAAATTAGTAAATTCCGACCACTTTTCAAGCTGGTTTTATAGGTTCTTCAGTTGGAAATGTGCTGGGTTTCCAAGAATTATAGGTACATTCCAATATAGTTTTTCTCCAATTCTGTCCGTTTTGAAGATATGTGAGGTCAAGAGTTTTCCTAACTTTGAAATAAACCAGATATGGAGTCTGATTGGTAAACCAAAGGGTCTTATCAATACAAGTTCCCCATTAGAAATTGTAACCTTGCTTTCAACTCCATTTCTGCCATCCTGAGTCTTGTGCTGTCTCAGAAAAAAAAGCTACATGAGTATGATAATTATGCAATTTGTATACAGAACCTACTGACCTTGCATGATTAAAAAAACAACAACAACTAAGGTTAGTCATACGATGTTGACACTTGTATGGGAGAGCACCACATTATATAAAGGCTGTAGATTCGACTAGGAAGCATCTTCCATCAACAACATGCTATCTCAGTATTTCTACCAAGAAAAAGGCATGTCTATATTATTGCAAAAAATTTGCCCAACTTGCAAAAACAATTATCTTTTTATATAATCAGAGACTAGATTGAATATTTATTCTCATAAATATGCATCTAGGGAAAGAATCTAATTATGGTATTTATAACTGTATAGAATATTTGTAAATTATTTATTTACATAATTTATCCAACCTTCTTATAGGAGAAGGGACAATAACCAAGTCTTTGATAGCTTCTTGAATGTCATGGTGTGTGTGTGTGTGTGTGTGTGTGTGTGTGTGTGTGTGTTTGGGGATGATTCAAATCTTGAGGATAGAAACCCATCATTCCAGAGGGCAGGTGCCCCGCTAGAGAAGGCATGCTTTCTATGCCCCATAAAATGATAGTGCTTAAGTGGTGACCACTCCACCTGATATTACTGGATGGGCAAAGGCAACTAGAGACAGGCCTCTGCCATAAAGGGTTTTGGAGGTGAATAGCCAGCACCATGAATTGCTCCAAGAAGCCAGTGTTGACTGTGAATAAGCATGGTCATGAAGATATTAATGAGGCATGGCCAACACTGCATGCACCACTGAATTCTGAACTAGCTGTAGCTTCCAAGTGGTCTTCAAAACAGTTCTATGTAAAGCATATCACAGTAATCCTTGCATGAAGCAATTAGGGTATAAGTGACTGTCTGAATGGCCTTCTAGTCTAGGAATGTTTCAGGTGGTACACTAGGTGTTTCTGTGCAAAGGTCTTTTTGGTTAGACCTGCCAGCTGCTCTTTGAACCGGAATTGTGACTCAAAGATGACCTCCAAGTTGTACCTCAGTCTCAAGTGGGGAAGTGCGGAAGTGCAATCCTAATTCCTCCTCTTTCTGGAGTTACTTTTTTATTTTTGATATTTTGATTTTGATACTGATGAAATAGCATTTTGATACTATTATTGATGATGATTTGATTTGGACACCACGTCTGTGTGGTTCCTGGAATAAAAATAAATAACAATATAAATCCTAATAAAAAACAACCATATGGCAAATCTGGCCCACAGCAACTAACATTTCAAGGGACTCCCAACTTCCTTGCTTAAAGCCTGGGAAAAGAGCCAGGCCTTTATGGAATGGCATCAGGGTGGGGGCCACCCAGTTCTTAAGGGTAACTTTATCCCAGAGGTCAAGTACCATGACAGAGGAGACATGCTTCTGCAATCTGATAATGACACTATTGGATTGAAGGAAACAGGAATTTACCAACCCTGTTAGATCATAATGGTTGGCTGATACCATAAGAGATAAGAAGTCCTTCAAATAACTAGGCTATATGTCGTATAAGGTTTTTATAGATCATAACTAGCCCCTTGAATTATACCTGAATAACGTTCATCCATAATTTGTCCCCATAATTTTTATATGCAAGTTTTTTTCAATTGTCTTCTTGTTTCAGCAAGCCTTGAAATATAAAAGAATATGTATTTTTATTCATAGCACACTATTCTGAATGAAATGAGTCTAAGGGAGTGCCTGTTCTGATGAAAGGAAATCTATTTAAGTAAAACAATAAGGAAAATAACATTGCCAAGTAGTTTTGATGTTCAATTTGCAAAAGCAAACGTTAGATATGACCCAATCCTACCCTTAATGATCTTTGTCTAGTTTCCTTCCATTCTTCCTACTTTTTCATTTCTAACTCTTGTGTTATTACAGAATGGATTGGGTTTATTTACTGTAGCCTTCTTCAAGCTGATGCCTTCAGTTGTATGGATTAAATCCAAGAATTCCCTAACCTTGTTGCTTGATTGGCTAGTTGTCACTAGGATTCTATCCAATTGCTTGTTTTTTGTGTGCAAAAAAATCATTCTATAAATATGTAACTTTTCTTTCCTGATATCAGGACTTTGACATTAGGGAAACAAGACAAAGGGGCAAGCAGAAGGGAGAAGGAGCTGAAAATGTGTTCAGATATCTACAGTAGTTGAATGTCTGTAGGGTTCAAGCTGAGGAAAGAATGAATAACAAATATTCATTTGTTAATAACAAAAGAGGGAAAATGTGTTTTTCTTATTTACTTAGCTACTGCTTTAAAAATATCGGAACCTTTGACAACAGTATAGTCCAACTGGAGGGACTAGAATGCCTACCATTGGAAACCAAAGCGTGTTTCCTCAGAAGAAGGTCTTATTATAGTAATGTGGGGTAAAAACATGTTGGATTAGAACCATAACTTACTGGTCTTACAATTGTCTTTAATTTTGTTTAGTTTTTGAGGGTGCAGATTTTTAAAAAAATAACTCAACCAGGCTTTTGTTTTCCACCAGTGAAACTACTTTGAAGGTATTATTTGGATTAGGAAACTTACAAGAGCAGCGTCTTCTTGATTTCCCCATGATTTGCCTACATAGCAACATTTATTTCAATAGCAAATGAGATTGCTTGGGGCTGAACTGTGCTAAAACCCTGTGTTATTTGATTGATGGATTGATTTAAAAAGACTTACATAGCCACACATATTGTAACAACAACCTTGGACAGCACACAAAACAATCAAAACATCAACCAGCCCAAATAATCAGAATAAAAAACAAATCTATAAAATATCTATAAAAACTCATTCCCTTACATCCACATACCATTTAGTTGATTTCAGCCTCATCCTACTCTAATGATTGTGTTATAACTCTAAATTATTTTAAGGAATTATCATAATTTCTGTTTGATAAAACCGTTTGACTTTCCACAACTAAATGTTCCCAAGGAGACCTCCTGAAAAACGCTTTGCAGTTAATTCCTGCTTTTATCAGCATTAATAATAACTTAAAGTTATTATAGATGTGCACCTGGGCTAATTATGATTAAGGATAGTTCTAGTATCATGTTATCTATTTACAGTGTATTAACTTGAGTTAACCTCCAGTGAAAAGGGCCATGGAGCATTGAGCCAGGTTACGAGAATATTTGCATCCCCAAAATGGAATTCTGTTTGCAAATCGCCATTGATACAGATAGTCTGGTGGTCTTTCTAATCCTGTTTTCAATTTCTGTCCTTCTGCCTTAGTGGGTATGCTTCTTTTCTCTAGTCCAGAACTGAAGAAGGAAATAATTAGTAGTAGACAGGGAGTTCAAAGAGAACATGTACCATACAGTGTTTCTTCAAAGAAAATTTGTGGGTTTGGCCAATGGTCTGAAGTATCTTTGAAAGCCAACAGCTGTTACTGCCCCAAGGGAAAAATCCTTTCCCAGCCAACTCCATGACAATTAACCACACATTGCATTGCTGTTTTTCAGGATATTGCTGGAGTATCCACCTTTGGCATGGGCAACCTTTTGCAAACCTGGAGGAGAATTGCTGGAAATAGAGGAACAGCATTCAAACCTTCCTTACTAAGAAGATCCAAGGTGTGAGAAGGATAGCTGCTTTAGCCCAGCAGACATGCCTTTTGGGCTGAAATTGCGAAGGACTCGACGCTATAATGTCCGGAGCAAGAACTGTTTCATGACCCGGATTCGACTGTTGGACAACAGTGTGATTGAGTGCACATTGTCTGTGGAGAGCACTGGGCAAGAATGCTTGGAGGCTGTGGCTCAGAGGTTGGAATTACCAGAGGTGAGGATAACCCAGGAAAAGACCATCTGTAACTTGCCGCTCAGTATATTTTTAGCTCAGGCTGTTTGTCATTTGGAATCTGTTTATTAGAATCATGTTATTCTTGGAATCGGTCCAATCTTGTCACCGAATGGAACTTTGGCAAATGTTCCTTGCTTACCCAAACATCAGGGCAGTCTATTACATACAGTTTGGATTGTGATTCAGTGTTATTTCCTGTCAGGATGAAACTCTAATATGAAAGGGAGCATCTTTTTTTTTTTTTACTATAAGCAAAAGACTGCTTTACACTTGGAGTGGATAACAATACAACCACATTCACGCATGACATCAGACCACTTTTATAAATGAGGGTTGCTTTAAATATGAAATATTTGCTGGAAGAAGTGTCTTAAAGTCCATTTTTCTTCTGTTTCATTAAACAATCCATGAGATGTAAAGCTGATTCTAGCAGTGTACAGTCCACTCTAGTGTATGTTTCGAAAGTCAGCTAATTCTCCGTGAAATATACTGGAGTTTCAACATGAATCTCAATTCAGTGCTATTACAAGTCAGATTTTATTGCCACAAGAGTCTAAAGTACAATAACTGTTTCCCCTTAAGCAGGGGTGTCAAACTCGCAACGTCACGTGACGTGACATATCGTGACTTTTTTTCCATTGCCGGCAATGGGGTGGGCACAGTTTCACCATGACGCATCCAGCCTGTGGACCGGCAGTTTGACACCCTTGCTCTTAAGGGAAGAAATAGTGCCTCTTTAGCCTGTAAATCAGCCTGGAGATCAGCATTTGAAATTTAGTGACAAGCTGATGAATAATAGTGGTATAATTGCCCACCTAGTTTTTTAAAAGGTTACATGAATGTTACGAGTGACTTTATTTAAAAAAAAACATAAAAGGAGAGACAACAGTATAGTCCTGCTCTCTGGTAATGTCATTATGTCAGTACTTTCGACCCACCCCTGCAGCCCTCAGTCGTCTATTTTTATTTTAAGCAAGAGGTTGTTCCAATAGCATCAGTAGGGGGCAGCCCTACCTCAAAGTGTGCTTTATCCTTCTGGAACTCCGTAAAAGTTGCAAAAGTGCCTTTGATAGGACAGGACAGGACAGGACAGAACGGAACAGAACAGACATGGTCTGCACTTGCTTTAAAAGATATCTCAATTAGCCTGGAAGCTTTCTATTGGGTGCAAATGTTTATATGAATAAAATTTGTGCTCTCTGGGGAATAGTGTAAATTATACCCCAAGAGAGTAAGCAATTTTTTCAGTCATTATCTAAAATGAAACCATAAAGTTTATCTTATAGGTAGTCCTTGTTTTATGATTATAATTGGGACTAGAAAACTGGTTATAAGTCCTTATGGGCATAAGCTGAGGCACGCCGTGACCTGAAGTAATTTTTTTGGTCTTTTTCACAGTGGTCATTAAGTGAATGGTGTGGTTGTTAAGGGAAACCATTCATTTGAAAGAGGATTTTTGCTGAAACCAACAAAAGTTTTGTGAATCACAGATGCTGCAACGTGTGTGTTTTGTCTGTGTCTGTGACAACTATTTATAATGGCCGAGGGTGCTTTATAGACTGTATAAAGTACCTGTTTGGTGGCTGTGGTAACCTAGAACTATCATAAAATGACCAGTTTTAAGTCAATGTTATCTATAAAATTTGTATATATACTAATTCTTTTTTTCCAGCAGACATGGACTACATTCCGTACATTGTAGATATGCATTCTTTGATATGCATATTGTATTTACTAAAAATATTTTGTAACACCTGCATCCAACTTTTCAAAGCAATGACGAGCAAGGGTTAATAATGTTATTGCTATTGTAAAATACTAAAATATCATAACAGTATAATGCTTCTGGTATAAGTAGTAAATGCTAATTTGTTTTTCAAATGAAAATGCTTAGGAAAATGAAAATGGCTAAAATTGCTGCCAGGTAAATGATTATACAAGTGCTGAGTGTATCTTCTTAGGGAAGGTAGTGCATTTATCAAAGAGATTGCTAATGCCAAAATACCTCCCTTCATCTTTTGATAGAGTAGTTCTTCTAATACCAAAAGATGCTTTGGTGTGGGGAGAGAGACACCTTCAAACTTTTGAATCCTAATTATTTAAGGCTTATAGTTCTAACATGAATTAGAATATACGCAATCCACGAAATACAGAATTGACATGAATAAGGCTGCTTCTACCAGTTAATTCTTTAGTGATTCTGTTCAATGTTTTTGACCTCCAATAGCCCTGTATTAGTACTACTAGGCAGGTATGAGAGATTGATTTCATGGCTAGGAACAGTTACAAATGGTGAATGAATGAAAACTTACTTTAAAAATAACTTACTTTAAAAATAGCTTTGGGGCACTGAGATTGCCTGAGGTTCTCGTACCCAGGCTGGATTTAGGAGTATCTTCAAGTTAAAATCTTGCTATTTGAATGTATGTTCATCTACACCCATAATAAATGAAACACAAGATTGCTGGACAAAGGATGATCAGCCTCACGCAGCCTGCCTCTTTTCAAAATTCAGTTTCATTTTATTGCCCCTAATCCAGCTCGCGATTGAGTCCAAGCAGAGGTCCATTGTTCAGTCTCACCCACTTAATGGCAAAGAGAAAGAGCAGCATACAGGCTACAAATTCATCTCACTCCAAAATGTGGATGTTCATGTACACATTGAAAAAACAAAATCATGCAAAGGCAATTGTTGTAGACACCAGCAAATACCTTTCCCACCTCAAGCCAGCTTTCTAAAACCCAGCTCTGCAGGTGGGAGCGGCACTGTGCTTCATTCCACAGAGTTGGGCCAAAAGGTTTCAATGGTATGAAACAGCTAAGAATACTGTAGAATGTTTTGATCTTGTGTTTTAACCATGACATGTTTCTAATAAGTTGCTTTGGAGGCTGTACACCGTCGGCAGTACTGTGATACTAAAGAATTTTCTTCTTCGCTGAACAATAACCCTGTATGAGGCCCTGTTCTCTTTACAGATGATGCCAAAATATAATGAATGAGACTTCAGTTATTTAATTTTTTTCACTAAGAAGATAATGGAAATAAACATTAATGTTCCTATGGGACAAATAAGACAACGAGGGCTTTTCTTTCTGTCTTTCACCCTGTATATTCTTGTAGGCAGTGTAGATGGACGTTTGATTTGCTGCCTGTACTGCTTTGGAAGGGTAGGGTTTTGACATCATTTAAGTTCAAGTCATGGACTTATTGCTAATCCAGTTAATAGTTGGTCAACATTGTTGCTATGTATAATTCTGGTTTTTGTTTTTTTAAAATGAGCAAGGCCAAAGGAAAAATCAGAATTATATATAATAAGCTAGGAACGATAACTAAAAGCATGATAAAATAGCTGGCATGCAGGCCCTGGAACTCATTTTATCTCTGTGCTCTTTTAGTTGTGACCTATTATTCAGTTCCCCAGTTAAGATATAGGTTAAAGATATGGGTTAAAGATACAGAATGAACTACATGGCATTCCTGCATTCCATTCCAGGCCAAATCCTCCACCACAACTTGGTGTAGTCATCACAAAAATGTTTGAAGGTACACAAGGAGCAGCTTTCTTTACAACCACAATTGCTTGCCAAGCACCAAGAATTTATAGTCATTCATTTTTTCTTGGAATGCTGGATAAGCTTCAGATGATACATTTTGTTTTTGTTAGTTTGCTTCTGGAATCTCTTCTGATGACTTTTGTGTTACTGCATTGTAGTACATTTTTTAAAAATGCTATCAAAACCTGCTGCTGTTTAAAAGCTGTTCTGAATTACTCTACAGCTCTAGCTTTCTTCCAACTGATCTAAGTTTTAACCACATGTCATTTTGGATAATTGGCAGCCTTTTATCACAGCTGATACAGGAAGCTTGGATTTTGGTTGATAGATGTAATAACATTTATTGCTATGCTTGTTTTCACTTTTCCCCACAAACAATTTTGGCACCATATTTTTATTGAGATCTGTGCCATTTGATTTTGAGAAGGAAATGCAACTCCAGAAGATTTAAATTAAAAAAGGTCTACGAATATTTAGATTACATCAGATTTCTGTTATATTTCATATCTAGCAAAAATTATGAGTTCCACCAATTATTTTATGATGAATTTTTCTTTATATCCTAAACTGAGACCTTTTCAGCCAAGGAATTGAAATTTTAATCATTTTCTGAAGGTCCTCAAAATCCTGTTTTTTCTTTAACCTCTTTTTAAATATGATTGTTGTTATTGGTAAGACCTAAATGCCAGATTAAATCAGAGTGACATTATGAAAACAGGCAACATGAAGATAGGAGAAGGGAGGTGTGTTGGATATGTTAGCCACCTTGATTTTATTTGTAAAAATAAGAAAGGCAGGATATAGATAAAATAAATAAAAAATAAAGTAAACACGACCTTCATACACTAGAATACCTCTGAATTCCTTCCTAAGAGCTGGTGGTTCTTCGAAATAAAAATCTTTCTCCCAAATCAGAATAGTCATATACCATTGGAAGATTTCAGTAATTAAGGGAGGGAGAGTGAAGCTGGGAAATATTGTTAACCTGCTTATGAGCCCAATAACTGGTAATGGCTGTCCAAGATTACAGCTTCAGGTCTTCCCCATTATTTGCTGCCTGAACCTTTTAATTGGCAATGCCAAGGATTGAAGCTAGTCATTCTGTATTTTACTGCTGAAGATTGGCATTTAAATGGCTATTTGGGAGCTGAAGTGTTTACATAAATGTTTATTTAAATATACAAGACTATGGTTTGAATATCTTAAAACAAATCTTTGGGATGCTTGGATGATGAAGTATTTCAAAATGTTTTCCTTGTCAAATTGTCTTTGTCCTTACGGTCTTGCATGTTGCCCAGCCTCCAGCTACCAGGAAAATGTTTCCTGTCCTAAGTGAGCCAGGTAGGTTTGGGGGTACACACCTCCAAAGGGATTACATGATCATCTTGGCCCTGATTAAAAGATATTTGGGGTGACTTCTGGGTTAGGGGATTTCAGCTGCATCACTTCCATAATTCCTATATAATATAATTGCTATAATTACAATAATTCCTATATTCACATCTGTAATGACATTTTTCCTTGCTGCTACATATATATTTAGTGTGTGTTGTATTGTAAATGTTTTTAATTGTTTTGTAGTTGTTCACAGCCCAGAGTCACTTGCTTGAGATGGGTGGCTATAGAGATTGAATAAATAAATGAAATAAATAAAGTAATTTTCAAGAGCTTATTTTAAGATCCCAGATGTACTGAATCCCTTGCAAAGGTCAAATGGCCTGTGAAACACCATCACAGGTCCAGAAAGACCTGTGAATTCATTCTCCAATTTGCATAGTAACAGTTAGAAAGCATGTTCGGGTGGAAATACAAGGGAAAAGGGAAAAAAAGAGAAACTTTTATTGTTTGTAAATGTGACCAAATAATAACTTTTTTGTTTGTTTTTAAACTTTTTCTCTCTGTAGACACACTATTTTGGCCTTTGGTTTCACAACAAGAGCCAGCAAGTGCGATGGGTGGAACTGGAGAAACCTTTGAAAAAGCAGCTGGACAAGTTTGCCAGCGAATCTTTGCTTTTCTTTGGGGTCATGTTTTATGTGCCCAGCGTTGCCCTCCTGCAGCATGAAGTCACAAGGTATCCGTTGCAAAGATTGTTCACTTTTCTTTGCTGCCACAAATATTTTCTTGCTGAGATGTCTCTTAGAGATCATGATTTGCAATTCAGAATTTTGCCTTGATATTGTATTTCCTCTCTTGCCTGTTACAGATTTTCCCTTTTCTTGTTAACTTTTAAACATAGGTTAGCACTTAATAGGTCTACTTAATATCTTAATTAGGTTCCTGCCTAATCTCGATCTGCAGATTGTCTTCAAACTCAGCTTTGAAAATCATTGTTGTGTAGCAAGCCAATTCTTCATAGTACATGGTAGTACAGATCCTACTGTTACTGAAGACTCCATGTTTCTATCTGGTAGAAACTATGGTGATCCACATTGATCTTATACTATTGTATGCCATCCTAAACAGACACACAGGATTGAACAATACGCTATTTATAAATAAGGTTTTTATTTCCTTCGAATCAATGTAAAGAATTTGAATTGTATAATTAAGAAAGTCCACGTGTAAGCCATGCAGGTGAACGCCTTTATATTTATGAATATAAATTAGCAGAATAACTTAAGAGTTAAGGGAGAATATTTGCTTGGGTTCTGCTTATATTTGCCTATAAATGCCTTGTTTATTCAGCCTTTTTAATAGGACACACAACATAGTTTCCCTTCCCTATCTTTATAAGATCTCTAAATGGATAATTTTGGAAATGAATCATTTCATGTATTTTCTGTTCTCTTCATAGAAATCTATTTTCTTCAGTGGAATCACCACTGAACATTACAATTGCATGGAAACCCTGAAAATACAGTAGCAGCTTCCTTATCCCTGGGTTCTACAATGATAGCAGCGTAAGGCACGCAGTAGAGGTGACAAGCTCACATCCTGTCTCTGGCAAGGAAGCAACTGCCTGATTCTGTTTTCCCTGCCAGGAAACTTGTCCTTGCAAGTTCTTGCTATTATCTCAGATTTGTGTTGTAGCATGCCAGCCACTGTGCTTTGGAGAGGTATTGCATCATATGTGCCTGCTCTTGCTAGAATAGTAAGAATGCTGTTACTTGTATGTCATTGTTGCACTTAAGGCAACTTCTGGTGGAACCCTTCTAATTGAAACTGTGTCTTGTAGTGGGAGATAGGACTTGGCTTATTGCTGTTACTTGCAATTTTACACAGGATTCAAATATGACTCAGGAGTCAGTAATCTATTCTGGTCCAGAGCATAATAGAATGGACTTGTGCAAAGTCTCATGTGCCCTAATACTTCATACAGGTTCTCCAGAATGTTGTGATGAGATGTTGGCAGTGCCTTTTTGAGGTCCAATTGGATATTCTGGTGCCATATCAACTATATTGATAACTCATTGCAATCCTAAACAATTTAGGAAGGCTTTGTCTGAAAACACCTTCATTAGGAACAGGCTAGGCAATTGATATAAAATGCAATATTTTGATTGCTGGCGTGAATTAGGCATTGTTGTCATATTAAAACTGATTTTCATTTTTTACATATTAAAACTGTTATTTCTTCCGATGATCAGTTCAAAGTGTAGTTCTGAATGAGGTCTGATAATTATTTGAGGTCGATTTGCATCCCTGACCTAATAAAGCTAGTCAGGCAGGCATAAAGCTGAGATGTCTCTGTGCAGTGTCCCATATATCGAATGCCATGCCCCAAGGCATAGAAATTTATTTCCATTGCCTCTGTAGTCTATTGGCAATTAAGAATTTCTTTTTTAAAAAAGCATTGGATCTTGCTGTTGGCCCGTTTTGTAGTGATTGATTATTGGTTTTGCTGCTGCTTTTGCACTGGTCCCAGGATTTTTTCAGAGAGGGGGAAGTAATATATAAGTCTAAGTGCTATTGCTATTGCTAGTTAGTAGGGTCATGATCTGGAGAGGCTTTGCTGCTTCAGAATTTCAACAACTTGCCATTACTGAGGGAAGCTGGAATTCTCTGTATGAACAATTGTACAGGAGAGTATCAGCCTGAGAAAATAGGGTTTCTGTGCTTTCAGTTCAGCCACTTGTTTACTGAATTTGGGTCCTTCCTGGGTTATGAAAGTGGCCAGGGAGGTGACCCACAGTTGGGTCTATGCTGTGGTGGCAGCTTCTTGAAAGAGACAATAGTGCACCCCCTCCTCAAGAGTCCATCTTCCAACCCAACAGTCTTCAATAACTATTGACTAGTATCCTACCTTCCCTTTTTGGGAAGATTGTTGAGAAAGTGGTCTATGAGCAGCTGAGGAGAACCCTGGAGGAAATGTATTATCTAGATCCATTTCAGTCAGGCTTTAGACTGGATTTAGTACTGAGACAACTCTAGTTATAGTTTTAGATGACCTGTGGCAGAGCTGGAAGGTAGTGGAGCATCCATTCTTCTGTTCCTTAATCTTTTATTGACTTTCTATATCAGTGTTTCTCAACCGTGACAATTTTAAGCATTGCTGGCTGTGGAATTCTGGGAGTTTAAGTCCACATGCCTTAAAATTGTCAAGGTTGAGAAACACTGTTCTATATTATCAAACATGGCAAGCCAGTTGTGTGGTTGGGGATTGGGAACCCTGTTTTACAATGGTTCTCTTCCTTTCTCTGGGGCCAGCTCCAGTTGATTGGTTTAGATAGGATCCTTAAGGGTTCTGTTCTGCCTCCCCTCCTTCATTTTATTTACATGAAACCACTGGGCAAGGTCGTCTTCCAATTTGGGGTTTGATATCATTTCTACTAGAAAAACCCAAATATTGCTGAGGGAAATCAATTTGTCATGGAGGAGTACACTAAGGTTCTTACATAGCAATGTGAGAAACTGATCACTAATTAGAAAGAAGCATCATTTGCAATTATTGCAGCCAGAGTCAGTTACTGACTCTAAGGACATACAATGTTTTTTCACATTGACACATAATGAATGTAACAAAGATAAAAGTTTGGTATTATTTGTTCCATCAAATTCACTTTCTACATCTGTAGAGGTTTAGAGTAAGCTCTGATAACATTCGTTTCATTTTGATAATATTTACAGATCTGCAAAAATTCAGAAAGTCTGAAAAAGGGTGTTTCACTGAATTATAATTGTCAATTTAAAAGTTGCACAAACTTGTTCGTCTCTTAGTATTTTGAAGTGACTCTAAACTGTACATTTCACTCATCTGTCTTGTGAATTCCATTTTATCTGCATTTTCCTTGCCAATCTCATTGTTCATGTCTCTAATCAGGATTGATTTTCCCAGAGTTATCATTTCCTCCCTGGACATAAAATGAAGAATTTGTAATGTGCTCCATGTTCTGTCATTGTTTACCTATCAGCACCCGGTTCTCATCCTGTGATTCCTACTTTCCTCAAAAGTGAGGCAGGATGACAATCTGTTTTGCTGTGGTAACAGAATATAAATCAAAAAAGAAAAACAGCCACATTCCCCCCACCCCCTTTTCCTGCAAGGAAAAAGACACTCATAGTTTCCTCAGACATTTTGCTTTGGTTTTTATACATTTCACATGGTTTCAAAGAGCTGCAGTGGGAAATTATAGTGGTTACAGCTTTTAAAAGAAATGCATTCAAAATTCTGTGGATGAAGGAGATGGCCCTTTTCTTTTCTCTTTTTCTTTTCCCCTTTTTATTACTTATTTACCACATGTGTAATCCATCTTTTCCTCAGGAGCCCAAAGATATGTCCATAATACTCTCTTTTTCTCTATCTCTTTCTCTTCCTAATGTTTCTCACAACAGCAGCTCTGGGAGGGACCTTAGGCCGAGATAGTTGGCCCCAAATCTCCCTGAGTGTCCATGGATTGAGGGTAGATTTGAACTTAAGTCTCCCTACTTCTTAGTTTGACATCTTAATCACTATATTATACTGGGGTCAGGTGGGGTTCTAGATGTTTTTTGTTCAGTGTTTTGCGTCTGAACTAGTCTGTTTACTTCTTCCATGCTATGTATAGGACCACAGGAGAAAGTGTGTTGACTGTGGAATTAGATCTATGACTATGACTATCTGATACCTTACAATAAACATCTCCTTCATACTTAGTGATACCCTTAAAACATACAAGTATTCTTCCTTCCTTCATTTCTTCCTTCCTGCCTGCCTGCCTTCCTGCCTGCCTGCCTGCCTACACACATACACATACACACACACACACCCCTTACTCAGGGAGTACGATTTGCAGCAGCAGTTTTTTCAATGAAAAACTTTTCCTGGTTTTACTCTTCTGTGAGTAAAGTCAAGCAGATGTCTAGAGCAGGGGTGTCAAACTGCCGGCCCATAGGCCAGATGCATCATAGCGAAATCACATCCACCCCATTGTCAGCAATGGCAAAAAAGTCACGATACTTTGCAACATGTCACATGACATTGCGAGTTTGACACCCCTGGTCTAGAGAATGATCCTCTCAAGGCAACTCTGCAGGGAAAATGGAGGGGATTGGAAGAGAAGAAACATCACTCTCGCCCCTTACTCTTTGTGGTCCAAATAAATTGTGGTTTTCCCCATGTCTAACATCTAAAGCCTCCCTTCTTACTCTGTGATTTTAACAATTGCTTTTAAATGAATATCTGTTTAAATTAGGTTACCTACTTTTACAGTCTGCCTTTGTGATAGCAACTATCAGGGGTGTTAAATTATGATGGCTGTTCCAAGTGTTTTTCTTTTCAGACTTGCTCATAAATTTTGTTTTTGTCAGAGAACAATGAGTGCTCCTGTATTTTTCAGAACGGAAAGTAGGGCTCATGTTACATTAAACATGTCAGTAGAAAAGGATCTTAATTGCATTATGAAACATGCCAAGAGAACAGTAGGATATTCTTATTAACAACCAAATTTGTGTAATACAACATTAATACTGATATGAGCAATATGGAAAAGACATTACTGCAGGTAGTCCTCAACATACAACAGTTCATTTAGGGACCATTTGAAATTACAATGGCACTGAAAAAAGTGACTTATGACCATTTTTTACATTTATGACTGGCAGCATCCCCATGGTCACGTGATCAAAATTTGGATGTTTGACAACTGGTTCATA